GGCCAAATTACATAACCTTTGTTTCCTTAATCCATACTGCCACAGTTGGAATCATTGCAAGGTAGGATATACTTACCTTGTACAACGGAGAAGATTAAACAAGATAAGCAACAAGTAACCAACTAGTCAATGCCAATTTGTAGTAACCCATGTGTTGCAAAGTAGAACTGTACTCCATAGGGTTTTTTTGGCTGTGACCTTTCACAAGCAGATCACCAGGCCATTCTTCTGAGGTGCCAGAATGGACTCTGTGGTGCGGTGAATTACATGATATGGCTTTTCTAGCCATAGTCTTTGTGACTCCCACCAGATTACTGGGTACGGCCATGTAAATAAGGTATATGGAATTCTAATATGGGGACTGGTTAGTTTTGCCATTCTGCTAGGCTTAAAATGAGTCTTCCTAGAGGTGGAAATGGGGACCTCACTGCCATCAAGAGAGAAGAGCCAGAGGTGGAGTGAAGCATGTTCTTGGACCCAAGATTCCTGTGCTGGACCTCCCTGGCAGGGAGATGGCTGAGATGACCAGCTGAGAATAGTGGGACCAAGAGGCACAAGACAGAGCAGCTGGCTTGCTGGCCCATGAGTGAGAACGCTGAGTGCCTTTGGGCAGGAGACTTGATGGCAGAGTGTTGTGCATCTAGGTGTACCTACTGACAGAGCTAAAAAAGTTTCTTAACACTTGCCCGAACAGGGCAGAGGCCAGGATGAGAGGCCAAGGGCCAGAGAGGCATGCTGAGGGTACAGTATAGCAAAGGGGAGACTGTCCTGATTGAAGAATTGTATCCTGAGTGTGTTCCTGAACTGAAATTGTAGCCTGTAACTTCTCTTACAAACCCCATGTCTGTGAGTTCTGTGTGGTCAATGCAACAAATTATCGAACTCAGCAGAGGAGTAGTGAGGGCTATGGGAAGGATGAGTGGTATCAGAATTGGTAAAAAGGCTGGAGGGTGGTGGCATGTCTGGCCTCCTAAGAGTAAGTCTTAGGCTGCTGATGGTAATTCTGTCTCCCCCCTTGTGAAGTTAGAGGAGGTCAGAGGATGCCGCCTCCATGTCCTTTTTGCAGACTTCGACCACCAAGTTTTTAATAGCCGAGTGCTACTTTTCCCTCGTGTTGCTCATTTTACAGAATAAAAATACTGAGACAGAGAAATAACATTCTGCCAAAAGCACAGTAATTTACAGATAAAGCTGAAACTAGGCTTAAAAACCCCTTAAGTACAAACAACTAATTCTATTGAGGATGGTAATTCACGAAGGAAGTACTATCTTGCTATAGCTTCCTGATAAATACTACTTCTTATTAAACAGACTGATGCTGAACTCTAGATAAAAAATGTAAAATATGTGCAATTTATATGATTACAAAATTTTAAATCATACATTTACATAATGTTTGGTGCTTTATAAAGTGCTATTTAATCAGTGTCACTTCATTTGGCCACAACAGCCCTGTGTTTAAAAGATTTTCTATCTTTTTGTGATAGGAGTAATGAAGAATTTTATAAACTAAGAATTTCAGAAATGCAAATTATTATAAGCGGGAATAAAGGCTAATCATGATTAATTAATGATTTTGCTAATAATTTCTCATCTTTCAATGAAAGCCCAAGTTTCCCTTAAATCATATATATCATACACAGTAAAGGTTAAATTAGAGGTTTAAAATATATTCACTTTCTGAGGAAGAAAAAGGCTGCTTGGACATGCTGAAAAGAATACATGTGTTGTAAACTGAAAATAAACTTCATGAGGCTAACAATCAGTTTCTCAAAACACAGTTTTGTTATCTTATAATTTTGATTAAAGTATCTTTAGTATCACAAACCATACCTGTCTCCAGCCCTCCTGCTTGCCTCCATCTCCCAAAACCACTGAGATACTAGAAAAGTTAAAAAAAAAAAAACACACAACAAAAAACTACTTAAAATCATTTTGTTAAGATCGCTGGTTTTCACATTTATATGAAGTTTACTAAATGACTTCTGAAATAAACCATCTGTTGTACATAACAGTTCATAATCTTAATCCTTTTGATATTACTGATATGGCCATTGGGGGATTACACTGGGAAATGACATCATTGCTACGGCATTATCTGACCAAACACACCCCACCCTAAACCCAGACTACAGCACAGCATGCTAGCATGTCTAATATTCTCCAGTCTCACCTTTCATAAAGCCCCTGACCTAGTGCAGATGCTAATCAATTCATACCTTCACTGCAGCAGAAACTTCCAACTGGTTCCCTCCTGACTCCAGGCCTCTCTGTTTTGATCGACCTTGCATAGGTGGTCAAACAAATCTTTAAGTTATTTTGTATTGCTATATCCTTCTTCAAAAGCCAACAAGAGTTCCCAATTAATGTCATATTTTAAATTAATGGTTAATTCTTACTATAACACTTGGTTCTTTCATTTCTTCACTTTACCTAAGACAAAGTCCTTTATGATGCAATGTGTAATGAGGACACATTTTTCTTGAAAATTAAGATTTAAATACCATTTTTATTTCTCTACCATAGACTCTTTACAGTACATTAATAGCACCACCTATCTATCAATAAGCGTTTGGAAAATAGGCTTACTGATACTATAATGTGCATATGGCTAGCCTTTACAATTTACTATGAAATTAAGTCAGAGTTGAAAAAAATTCTAAAAATGAAGTTTCATTTGACACTATATAAAATATCTGTAATAGCATATATCAATACTTTATTAATGTCCCAAACGAGTCTGGCCAGCAGATACTGATAATTTTAATCTGGCACAAATGGTTAGTGAGCAAGCTGAGTTTGTAGATATTAACTAGAAGTTCCAACAAGAAAGAGAAGAAAGGGAATTTTTGACTTGTAAAGTCTAGTATTCACTGACATTTTCATATCTCCCATATCCTAACTGGAGCATGTGCTGCCTTTTCCTTAGAAGTTTTCCTTCAAAGACTTTCCTTAAAAGTCTTCCAAATATTTCATTCACATTCCCTGTTTAAATGAGAAATAAGATGACCAGATACAACATTTCATTTTTACATCCACTCAGTACTACAAATAAATTAGCTGAATGATGTCAAAGAAACTTGTTCATGCAACACACAGTTCATTCTTTATAATGAAAACTATGATCCTTTTTCAAATCAATTATACTTCGACCTCATGCTACAAGACGACTCATTTTAGAAATTACAATTTCCTTTACATAAACCTAATCAGGCAATAATCACAAGAGAAATATTTTAGTCAAAATGAGTAAGCATCTGTACCAAAAGCTGTAGAAGTTTAACCATGAGAAGCAATTGACTATATGAAAATCCCAGCTGTGATGTCCATAAGGAATTAAAATGTCTTAAATTTATATAGCGTTTCTCCTATGAAATTAACAACAACTCTGTAAGGCAGGTTGGGGCAGGTATTGACTCCCATTTCACCTACAGGGAAGCTGATGTTCTACTGCTCATTCTGGTCAGTCTATGGGAAAAGAGAATTAAATCAAGACTTATTTATGGCTGTCTCATGCTTGATTTATGAGTCGGATCTGACTTGATGGCAGTGAGTTTGATTTTTGATTTTTCATGCTTGATCGTGCTGATAATTTCATAAACTAATAAATTTCAGAAAAAGGTTATGTTAGGTAGGATATAAAAAAATTTTAAGTCAGGTATAAAAATTAAAAAAAAAAAAATTCAGTTAAAACTGATCTTGAAAATGATGTAACCTGCAAGTGTTATTTTGAAAAACATTTGTTGACAATTTTCAGTATAACTGTAATATGACAAAAGTTTTAAAAATGACTTTTGAAAAACAGTTTGTTGAATCTGAGTAACTGGATTAAGTGTCTACATGATAACTGAAATCTTGGGGCTCTATTTTAGAAGGCACTTTTGTTAGGGCTTGTGTCATACCATATACCACGTACTATAATATAGTCTCCTGGTGATTCATGACAGCAGATATTAACTTGAGCTTTTCAGTGACTGGTTAACTAAATGATCATTCATTACCATCTACTTTAAGTCATATATATATCTTGCTATTTGTAGCTGCTTTGCAGAAAAGAGAAATAAGCTCTTCCAACCTTGATAATAATTAGTAAAAAGTTTCATATTATCAAACAAATAAAAAAACAGTTTTCACCTGCTCTGCTTCATGAGCTACCTTCTCCCAGTCCCTCCCCAAAATTTCTTATTCTCTGTTACTTTCCTGACATCATGTTAGCTTAAATTCCTCTCCTCCTGCAGAGTCCGTTCTAGACTGTTCCAGGGCAATCACTAATCTCTTCAAGTTTTTAATAACTGCTATGTCCCAGCACTTGATATCATAAAATATATATTTTTTCATATTTTGTTGTATAATACAAACTTGATTAAAATACATTAAGAAACATTTATGTTTAAATCAACTCTAACATATTAACATATTAGGAGACAGCATAATTTATTTAAATATATTTTCAATTCAACATGAAAGTAAGCAGTTGACATTAGAAGGGTTTAGATATTTTAACTATAGTTTTCATTCAAACACACACAACTCTTTTGGTCTCTCTTTTACTCTTCTTTTTTGTTTCTTTATTCTTCCTCTTTAGAAGTTCACAGTGTTACAAAAGTGAAAAACAAGACTGGTAAGAATCCACTGTAAAAGATATGGCTTTATATACATACGAAATGCAGTAATGTTGTCACAACCCCTAATTTGATGTGATCTTTATGATTTATTTACTATTATCCAGAATAAGCTTCTGTATATATTAAATTGTTCATGTACATCTAGAGCAATGCTTTTAAAAGTGAGGTCCCACTGCTAGATTAACGGTCACCTCTTTGAAGACCACTCCTAACTTCAACACAGTTAAGTTAGATTTCAAACAATTTCTTTATTTCACAATTTAGCATACAATCTTAAATATTCTAAAACTCAAGTAAGCCAAACATATAATAATTTGATTTTCATCTTCTAAACACCCCTTTTGTAAAGCACCAGAAGTTAAAAATGGATCTACCTAACCAAACATTCTTTTTCCTTTATTAGTTATAGTTTATCATTTATTTCTAGAACATTAAACCCAAACTGATAATGAAAACAACTTACGCCAAACTCTTTTGCCTTAAATAAATAAATGTTTCATCTACTTTGTCCGTAAATATCCTGTCTTCTATAGTGTATGTTTCTTGGCAACACCTATCCAATTAGCTGAGCCAAGGACCAACTTCTTATCTTTGAGGACTAGGCAAGCCGGATAGGATTCTCTAGGTTGGCTTTAAAACTTTCAAGAAACCTGGTAGCCAGTTCATCATCTACCACTCGGCTGTCGCTCGACATTGTGACAGTTATCAGTTGGTGCTGCTGCAATGTGGCATTGCCCTCTTCATCCTGAGTGAGCTTCAGTGCTGGTCGGAATCTCCCAACAGCCAAAATGCAGGCCTGAGGTGGGTTGATCACTGCAGCAAATTCATCAATGCCAAACATCCCCAAGTTGGAAACACTAAAGGGAAAAAAAGCAAAAAAAGTTCTGCAGGTAGCAAATCCTTAATCAAAGTAACTTCTGAAGCATGCATTTTCACTTTACAAAAATACTGTGTTACCAAACCTTATATCAAGTTATTCAAATAAGAAAGAACATATGCCATCAAATATATAAGGACTGTATCTAACATCAAACATTTACTCAGCATTGAATTGAAAGTCCTAGCCAGTGGAATATGACAAGAATAAATATAATTGATTACATGCATAGATAATCCAAAAGACTCTACAGACAAACCTGTCAAATTAACATGTGAATTTAGCTAGGCCATTAGATAACAGGTATCATTATACAAATATGGATATAAGATAGATATATGCAGTCACTATAAAATGAAATGTAAAAAACAGAACCATTTATAATAGTGTATATATATAAAAATACCAGGGAATAGATACAACCTTATTTTTTATCTAAATATTTTCTTTCCTCTATTATATTTTCATTCTGTTGTTTAAATAAAGTATGTAGTATTGAGTTTAAATTAAAAAAAAAAAGTTTCAGGCAAATAAACGAAACAGGTTGACATGGACTTAATAAATACTGATAATCAAGAGTTTAAATTTTACCTAAAAGATCCTCCTTGATATTCTTCTGGTAACAATTTTCCATCTCTTGCCTTCTTTGAAAGAGCCTGAGAAAATTATGGAGCACGATCACCAACAGTATCTTATACAGTGAATACTGCCAGTTATATGTACACCTGAAATATTTGCCTAGGGTCTAGGTCTATCTCTGATATGCTTGATTTGACCTTATCAAATGGCTGATCTATAAGTCGTTTTCTATATTCAATGCAATTAATATAATAAACAATTTAGAGCACAGATAATCCAAGAATATAAAGATGTGAATCAAAACTCTAAGGAAAATCACTTCCCTTAAAAAAGGTTTCAAACACTGGAATTAAAGAGGCCTGTACATGATTACTATGCAAAATGTTTCAGTGTTTTCTGTATATATAAAGCAATTTTCTGTTTTGCCTATAACATTTTTTCTTATGAAATGAAATATTACAACATTTCAAATCATTCTTGTCAATCAAACAAAAATAAACTATGCCGTGGCAACCTAAACAGTGCTCCTATCGTCACAACCAACCTAACAATTGTTATCTTCCAGTGTTTACTTCTACCTTTATCAACAACATATATAATCTCAGACAGCTGTAAAGAGAAATGGAATTGTGTATATCACTTCTATGTTGTTTTTGTAAATGGTTTTTAAATGTCTGTTTTACATGGTAAAGAATGTATCTGGCATCATTTACTTAGGTATTATTTAATTTGGTTCACTGGTTTCTTTTGTTTAATTTGGAAAAATTCTCAGAAGTGGAGTAGAGGGCCCTTGAGAACAGACTTTTTCTTGGATAGCTAATGTATTTCCTGAATGAGTTAGTCCAATTTACATGGCCACAAGGAATATAAAAAAGTACTAGTTTTATATCACTTTTTATAACACTGATTTCTAAAAGCTTACAAAACAGAAGAAAAAGGTGACACTGAGGATGACACTAAGAAAAGTAGTAAATTTGCCTTGTATTTGCACTTGCAATCACCCACACTCCTGTTAATCTATAATTTTCAATGTTTTAAAGAAAGGGCAAAAAGAATGAGTAATCATATGAAAAATTAATAATGAATTACTCTATGAGAGGAAAAGTAGAGAAAAATTAAGTTACTGTCATTTGGGTAGATGAAAGAAATAAAGCATAGCTCTGTTAGTATAATGCCTAAGGCATTTGACTGCTAACCAGAAGGCTGGTGGTTCAAACCCACCAGCCACTCCTCAGAAGGAAGACTGGGCAATCTTACTTCCACAGAGATACTGCCTCAGAAGCCCAAAGAGGGGTCACTATGAGTCAAATCAACTTGACAGCAGTGAGTATGGTATTTTTTTTTATAATGTACTATTATAATCACAGGTGATAATTATTTAAGTTTACACCAGATGATTTAATTTTTGAAAACTAAAATATTCTTTAAAAATCTCAGAAAATATAGAAGTGATTGCAATATATCAATATGACTTACTGGCAAATATAGTAATTACAGATGTGTATTAACTATATTCTCAAACTCACTGCCATCTAGTCAGATCTGACTCATAGTAACCCCTCCTTAGGTTTCTGAGGCAGTATCACTACAGAAGTGGATTGCCTAACCTTCCTTCCGAGGTACGGCTGGTGGGTTTGAACCTCCAGCCTTCTAGTCAGCAGTTAAATGTCCTGGGCACTATGCCACTAGAGCTCCCATTAAAAACAAAAACAAAAACAAAAACATATATATAGAGAGAGAGAGCTCTGGTAGCATAGTGCCTAAGGCACTTGACTGCTAACCAGAAGGCTGGCGGTTCAAACCCACCAGCCACTCCTCGGAAGGAAGGTTGGGCAATCCTACTTCCATAGTGATAATGCCTCAGAAACCCAAGGAGGGGTCGCTATGAGTCGGGGCCGACTCGACGGCAAATAACAATAACAAATAAGTATATATGTATATATGTGTGTGTGTGTGTATATATACATAGTACTTATAAAACTTTCTCAATCTAAAATCAAGAACAGATGAGCTTTGACTTGTCCTTGAAATATGAGAAGTAGAGAGGACAAACTACAAAAATGTATTTTCCCTGCCTTAAACAATAGAATTGTTCACGATTTGAACAAGCACACAACATATGAACTTCAAAAAGCATTTCTCTAAAGGCATACCCTGATGAATTAACCAGCTGGAACACATAAAGGCAAAATTCATTTTAAAGACTAGATAGTAAGCATGCATCGCGCTCTCTCATGGCCGTGGAGTTGGATCAGACTCATAGTGACCCTTTCTTGGGTTTCCAAGGCAGTATCACTAAGGAAGTAGATTGCCCCACCTTCCTTCTGAGGAGTGGCTGGTGGGTTTGAACCATCAGCCTTCTGGTTAGCAGTCAAATGCCTCAGGCACTATGCTACCAGAGCTCCCAGTAAGTGTGCATACTATATTTTTAAAGAAAAAGACACTAAATATATCAACAGGATATTCCTGTCAATAAATTCAAATCTGAACGCTAAGAGTCTGGAGTAAGTACAGATTCTGAGTAGGATTGCTGGTTACGATTGTGAATTCTCACTGGGATTTCCTGGCAACGTGAACTTAAAATTCAAGTGCATTCTATCTGAAGGACCCAGCTGAAAAGATATGAAAGGATATAATAAAAGATTACTAGCAAATATTTCAAGAATATACCATGTACCTTATTAATTCACTGAAAAAATATGTTATAATTAATGAATTAAGAACAGCATAGGATCATAGGCTAAATAATAGGTTGTTACTATATTACTCTATTCAGGGAATACAAACTTGAACTTGGCTGGAGCATGCAATTAGCCCTAGACACGGATACCCTTGGGATTACTAAGGATTAAGAAGTGAGTACTTAGTGCAGGTGTTCTTAACCTGGGGTCCATGGATAATTTCCAGGAACCCACAGATCACTTGAAAAATTAGTAAATATTCATCGAACTACTATATTCTATTTACTTTTCGAGGATTGAATATATGGCAATAAATAAGGGAGTCAGCACTCCTATTCTTACTCTATAATCTGGTAAGGCAACAGAAAGTCTAAGAGAAGCACTTTCAATGAATGAGGAAAACAGCCAGCCAAGTGAAGAGCAGGGAGAAGTATGTACTGGAGAGTATGCTTTGTTAGGGAGAGCCCAGAGTTCAGCAGATCCATGGCCCCAATCACTTCTGAAAGTTAAGGAGTAGCTCCTCAAATATTATTTTGAAAATACTATGGTTCTACAAGGATAATAATATAGCTGCTACTAAGTGAGGAACTTCCTTGTAAGAATAAAATGCTCTTAACACTGAGGTCTACCCATTACCATTTTTACAGAAATAGTGTCAACTTTATTTCAACTTTACAATCCTACCTGAAATATTTAGAGTTGAATTCTAAACTTCATGAAAGAAAGTGTTCTTCTTTAATTGGAATGAAGTTGACCCCCAATTTTTCTCCATATTATTTCTGAATTTTGGAGTACTGAATTTTCCTAAAATGAGTCATATCTGGATAAAAACGTAAATACCTCTATATACCACTGACAGTCACTTGGAAATAACAAAACAATCACCACCACCAAATATACACAAAAAAAAAACAAAGTGACTAGACATGTCACACTTTAATTATCAGAAAGTAAACACTCTGAAAGCACACTATGTATTTCTTAAGATTTACCTTTACTGAGTCAGCAATTTCTCGTATACCCTTAGCGGCAGCATTTTTTATAATTGGTGTAATTAAACCTTTATCTGTTGCCACAGCCACTGAAATGTCAATAAAGGGCAATTGCTTTGGGCCCTCTCCATCCCAGCTTACATTCACATCTGGCATTTGCTGGAAAACAAAGGAACATGTCACTAAAGAAAGAGCATTAGACTGAGGTGGTTAGAGAAAAGTAATCTACATACTATTATGCATTTTTTAAAGTGAATATAGTAAAATAGGAAATAAATATTTAGTGAAAAAATATAGTTTGGATCTTTGAATTAAACCACAATGCAACAGCTCCCCTCCCACTTCCTTCTCATAGTTACCTCTTCCCTGTGTCCATCCCTCCATTGACTCCTGCCCGCTGAGCTGTCTCCCTGTGCATAAGCAGCCCTTCTTTCTCCCATGATTGTTCTCTCCAAGGAGAGTATCTTCTTGAGGTAAATGTTCAACTCATATGCCTGTCTTTTGTTTGGCTGGAAACCACAGGTGTGGGTTTAATTCCAGACGTGAAGGACAGTTAGGGGCCATCGTCTCAGTGGTTCCACCAGGCTCTATCACACCAGCAAATCTGGTCCCCCCCCTTTATTTTCCCTCCAAATGATTTTGAGTTTTGTTCCACATTGTTCTCCCTCTCCATCAAGGATCTCCTACATAGATCCCCTTCCAAGTGGATGACAGTGGTAGCCAGGAACCATCTAGTTCTTGTGGTCTTATAGTTGTATAGGCTGCAGATCG